TATGCAAATTTATTCAGTGATTTTCTGAAGACACCACAACGAAATGTATGACTTCGATTTCTGAAGCACAAATCGTTTCAAAAATAATTACTTTCTTTAGCTACAAAGTTACACTAAAATTACACCCTGAAAGATATAGTTCAAAATTGTCATTGTTTTTGGATACAACATACTTCTACAACAATGATAATTTATTTAGTTGCAACAACATTTCTGGCATCATTTCCATCTTTTATTCACGATAACTAATTGTAGTAGTGTAGTATCAATAAATAGAACTGAGTGCTTCCTGACTCATTTGCCTAAAGCTCGAATGTATAGTCACCAAACAAAATCACATCTTTGGTGGCCTTCCTGTAGTCTTTTGAAAATGCACTTATATGATGGCAATCACATTGAATTTACTATTGATGAAAAGCTTATTGCACCATCTGCTCGTTTAATGTATTACCTGTAAAACATGTAAGATCACATTCTAACGACATCAATCCTTTCATTCATCTTGAGTATACGTATAAGTATATGCCATAGTGTTTAAATTGTTATTTTATTTTGTTCAACCTGTAACATTTAATACATTCGTTATCCGTACATGGTTTATATGTGTATACATACCTATTCCAATTTAGACAACTGAACAACTTGGAAATAATTTATCATTACAGGTTTCTATCACATCAACAAAAGAGAGTATTTATAATGCAAAACAAGCAAGCAAAAATCGAATAAACACAGCCAAGGAAGCGTGCAACAGGTATAATATTACATATAACGGCGATGCCGCGAGCAGATTTGTCATATCGGACAAGTATAAGTTCATGATAGACATAATACCCAAAGTAGGTTCTGGTACTATGAGAGGCATAGGTATCAAACTCAATCCAGAGTCAACTATTACTTTTTACCGAATCAAAATGCGTGATATGTCAGAGTTCGGGCACTACACAAAAATTGTCTTTTTTCGTGATCCATTGGAACGACTTGTTTCATTTTATTATTATGCAGTACATTCTACGCGAAACACAGGTTCAGGTTTCTACGAAGCATTCCTTTCCGTCCTCGCTAAGCAAGCTGGTTCAGATCTTAAGGATTGGTTAAATCATAATATAACATTTCGAGAGATGGCAGAAGTTATTATTAATGTTGGTTTCGGGGATGAGTATGTAGGAAAAGCATTTCCGCAGCATGTAAATCCACAATATATGGTTTCCAATATATGTTCCTTCAATGCTGATTTTATAGGTCATCTTGATAAACTGTATGAAGATATTCAGTATATTTTTAAAGTAGTTGGCGTTACAGATGAGAATATATACCCAGCTCCCCATGTCCAAAAAGGACACGACAGACTTAAAGATACTATTAAAGATTTACCTAAGTATGTATTAAATAATATTATTGATTTTTATAAGATAGATTACGAAATTTTAGGCTATGAT